AGGTTTCTACTTTCACTTAACGAAATATTTTTTGTTGGCTTGAGATTTTGGAGAAACACCCACATCATTAATTCACTGTATTTTTGGCACGGATTTTTGCGCATTTTTTGACAGAAACTTAAAGCTATTATAGCTCCCTAAACAATCAGTATCTGGATGAACCGTTTGGTCTAGATTGTAGGTTCATTGTAGGCAACAAGTGAGCCAAATTTGAACGAATTCAGTGGAGGGTCGTATAGACTCGTCTGCATGGTTTTCAGGCGGACATGTTCTTAATAAATTTGAACTGCCATGATGTCTATCATTGAAGGGCACTCTTCAAAGTTTTCTGATGCAATCCTCTTCGATGTGTAATCCTTATTGCTTTACATGATACAGAACTTTTAAGAATAACGTCCACCGTCCTTTGATTTTTCTATTGGGTAGATCGTTCAGTTTCAATTCAATTGCAGCTTCGTCGAATTATCAGAGTACAAATGCTCGGTCGGCGTCGAAAAAAATTCCATTCTTCCTTTTGCTGGACCAGGCACCGAGTTATATGTGAGAGCTTTTCCAGCTTAAACAAGTAAAAACGCTGGAAAAAGCTGCACAAAAAAAAAAAAACAAGAAAAAAAAATCGAGCGGAAAAATACGTATACATTAAGAATGAAATTTGGGGGAAAAATTGAAAATTTGTCCACTCCGATGCAAATTATCCAGTCTGCATATTTAGCACAAATCGATTCCATTTTCCCGTGTCTGGTTAATTATAGATCGCAGACATACACTTGGTAAACATTTATTCATATATTGTTTTTAATTTGGTGGATTTTAAAAGAGTGCACAGCAAATTAAGGTTTTCATTTTTTTTTTGGAGCTTTATGTCTAATGATAGGTATTTTTTACTGAGGTCCCATAGATCAGAGAGAAGTTGTAGAAAAGGAGTGGAGGGGTGATCTAGGTATCTGATATTCCTTCAATTTTCCTTTAAATGTGTCTTATGCGCCTGTAGAGATGGCTCAAAGTGACGCACTAAATGGAAGATCATCTATTAATTGTCAAAATCTTTCTTCCGCATTTTAGATATGCAGTCCTCATGTTTTTTCTTTAATTAATTATTCTTTGTCTTTCTATTTTTTTTTTATCATTTTTCACGATTCTATTCTGAATAGAATCCTTCATCTTGCCGTGGTTTTTTTTTTCCATTATCTGAAAGTGTAATTTAATTCAACCTTAAAAATACGGTTTGTCTTAATGTGTAACGATATTAATCATCCCTAGAAAGAAAATGGAATCAAGTTTGGTTCAAAAGTAAACATTTGGGGGTCTGTCTTATCTAATAACCTTATCTTGCCAATATCAACAAATTTAGCCGGCAGATGAAGGGAACGGTGATCTATTAGGTTACGTATTGATTAAACTTTACGGTTTAATCGAGTATTTTTTACGAAATATGGTGAATTCAGAAATGTGATAAGATTGATATAACATTCTTACACTGTCAATCGAACACTGACAGGAAAAAATTAAAAATAAAAATAAAAAATAAAACAGGGTTTCATATTGACACACTTTGTTCGAAACTCCACGAAATATGATCCCTTTCGGATGATATAAGAAAACAACTAATGTATTCACATGCTGTTAGCTGAAACTGAAAGAACAGGAAAAAATCGAGTTTCGTGTTGGCGCGGTTGGTTGGAAATTTTACAAAATATGTTGCCTTTGCAATGATAAAAAAAGATAATAACTGCATTCGGTCTCACACTGTCCGTAGAGACTAACAGAAACAAATACTGGAAAATGAAACAGTTTTGTATTGATATGGTTTGTTCGAAATGTTACGTAATACGATGCCTTCAGTGTGGTAAGAACATAAATATTGCATTCGGTCACATACTGTCCGTAGAAACTAACAGTAACGAAAAATAATAAAAAAAAAAAATTAAACAGTTTCGCATTGACACGGTTTGTTCAAAAAATTTCACGAAATGTGATACCTTTAGAATGGTAAGAACATAAATATTGCTTTCAAATACTGTCCGTAGAGACTGACAGAAAAAAAGGTAAGAGTTTCGCATTGAATTGAGAAACCAATACTCAATCATTCATAAGGGATGTGTAAATATGATTCTTTATTTTTTAAATATCCTCCCAAGATAACATAGAAATACGGCCCTTGAATTAGAGGATGCTATGTTGAATTCTACTAAAATTGCATTTGAGGTTTTCAAGAGAGGACAAAACATCACGACCATAACAATATGACGATATTTGTAATTCTAACGAAGTAGCTAACAGCCTCTGGTATATCTCTGTGTTATTTGTAGCGCTAGTTGCGGGTCAACGAGAAAAGTGTAAAGATATGCAGGTAAATATGGAAGAAAACATGGGAGACGTCAAGGATTCGTCTATGTTTCGAGACACTTTAAGAAATATAGCAACCAGGCCCCGGTTGTTCGAAGGATGGATAACGCTATACAGTAGATAAATCTCTATCCGGTGGATAGCACAGTACGTTTTGGCAACACTTATCCGCTGGATAGCGATTTATCCGTTGGATAGCGTTATCCGATGGATAGCGATTTATCCGTCGGATAGCGTTATCCGCTGGATAGCGATTTATCCGTTGGATAGCGTTGTCCGCTCTTTGAACAACCGGAGCCAGCAGAGTAGTTTCGCTGCACGTGCGTTGTAAACTTTAGTACATTTCCAAGTCGTCTGTTACAATACAACTAATACAATAATAATATTTTTCGTGACCAAAAAGCGAGATCCTCGATGGAAAATCATAACAGTTCTTGTCTCGAACTCATGCATCAACGTTACCCTTAATGAAGTCTGCCACCTTTACTGCAGTTAAAGAAATCAAGCTACTCGCAAAATTGCTTTTATGCTTTTCTTTCTTTTTTTTCTTGACTCAGGAGACTGCTTCTAAGTAAAGAACAACCTATGACAGGGAAACAATCTCCAAAACGGCCAGAATAGGATGCTAATAAAAAGAGATGAGGGATCACTATTGATTAAAATCATAAAATCAGTGTAGCAAAATAAATCTATATGAAATGATTAAGATACGTAAGCCATCTTAACATGGCTCTTTTACGCTCTGGTGGCAGCCGTTGTTTGGAGTTCTTCTATGCCCTCGTTTCTACGCAACAGAAATCGTTTAATGCCGGCGCGAAATTGTCTGTTGATACCACTGTAAATAAGAGGGTTGAAGAGCGAATTACAGTATCGAAGAAAGAGAATAACATAATTAACGACTGTAAATGTTTTTGTAACCTGTAGAGGCGAGAAGCTGTACGTGTACACAAGGTAAAAAACAAAAAGCGGGCACCAGCAGAGAAAGTGAGTGCCCATTATAATCGTCAAAGTCTTTGCCCCTTTAAGTTCCCGCTTCAACCTTCGTTTGGAGTGTCCCGATCTCTCGGGGTCACTTTGCGTCGATTGAGAGTCAATCCGTCGTGCGTGCGAGCGAGCAACGATGAACATGTTCCAGTAAGCAAACGTCATCACACAGACTGGGGCAACGAAACTCGCTATCGTGATAAAGGTCACGTACCCGCGGCTTAAGAAAAAACACTGCGGCAGTTTTTTGCCACTGTTGGAGTTTTTGACCAAAGATAGGAAAGCAGTGCATGAGACAATCGCTGAGTAAGTCCAGATAAAAACCATGCCAAAGATGGCTTTACGCTGAGTCACTATCGAATGGTAATGCAAGGAATATTTCACGGCCACGTAGCGCTCCAGGCTGATCATAACAAGACACAAAATGGATGCCGTACCGCAGGCGATGTCCAGAACGATCTGGGAACGACAGAGTATGATGTTTTCACGGGCTAACTGACTTGCAACAAATAAGGGAATCAGAACTGCAGCGATTACAACGTCCACGACCGCCAGGTTGATGACAAAGTAATGTCTTATTAAACGAAGTTGACTATACAAGTAGAACACAACACACACCAAGGTATTAGTCCCGATGGAAAGCGATGCGATCAGAATAAGAGGTATGATCAAGGAAAGAGTCGTACCCGTGCCATCTAGAGAAGGGGTCTCGTCTGTTGGCCAACAGAGATCGACGAAGGACTTCCAACACCCATGATTGAAATCGGGCTCAGAAATATTATATTCACTATCGTGTTTCGCGCAGTTGTTGTAAGCAATCATACATTTGAGGCTATCATTTGTATCCATTTGCTCTTAGCTGATTTGTCTTATCCAGAGAAAAGCGAAAAATTTTCTTCTAACAGTTCACCCAGTTTGAAGTCTATCACGAGACGCAAATGGCGTATTGTGAAGTTTTCGGACGTGCGGGGCCTTAAACACGGTTATCGAGCAGGAAATCAGCAGGAATAATTAATGGAAGACTAAGTGTGTTTGATCAGCTGATTGATTGGGGGAGAAAAGCTTTCGCGAGACAAGTAGTGTTTCGCTAACCTGTCAAATTTAAAGCCCATATGTCAAAGTTGAGGCTTCGCATCCGAAATTCTGCAAAGTAAATCAAAAAGAGAGAAAAAAAAGATATATCAAAATTTACTTGTATTCTGTCGACCGTTTCTTTGCAGACTTAAATGAGCTTTACTAACAATTAATTCAATGCGTCGTATTTTCTTCTGTCCGCTGTTCCTTTGTAACTCACCAAATTAAAAAACAGGAATAAATTTGCTCCGAAATATATATTTAACATCTGCGCGATTTGAAAAGCTATCAATTACCGAAAAGTAAGGTTATTGGTTCAATTTTATAGGTTTCACGACAAATTTTAAATCCTTTTGTAAGAAATTTGAAAGTGGAAACCTAGAATTGGAAAACAATTTCTCTAGCGTTTAAGCCGATTTCGTTCGATGTTATTTGTTTACGTTATCGTTTCTTTTGGTTATGCAAATAGTTCACTTTTCCAGGATTTGCGCTTTCACATTCGAAATGTTTCACACATGTGACGCAAACATTTTGCACAAGTTGACGGTGAAAATAATTAAAACCTGTATTGTTAGTTGCCAAATTTTCGTTCTTTGAGCTCGAGACAGCCAAACTAACATTTACTGTTCATTTGAAGGGAATATTTGTTCTTCAAAGTGCTAATATAGAATACTCGCTTTGAAACGCCGAAATCATCCGAAATTACTCGCTGGGGCTCGAACAAATGATCTTATATTACAGGAAGTAAAAAATAATATTAAACCTTCGTGATCAGTGATATCAATATCAAAAAGTCAGAAATTCGAAGGGACACGCATGCATCTTGGCCGATTAAAAATCTAGCGTCAGTTAAAAGCCTTTAAAAATGTCCTTTTGTCGACTGCATCGAATTTGGCGCCTGATTAAGCCTCGGCTGTCGCTCGGTATTAAATTCGTTTTCCTTCTGAGGCAAAGTAGCAAACTTTGTGGTACTGGAACAAGACGAATACTAAGTTACGATCATCTTCATACGCTAATACAATGAGTCGCCGCATTTACTTTTTTTGCCTCGTACAACTATGAGCAAAATGTACTCTAAAAGGGTATCTCGTGTTGGTCTTCTTGTAATAATGGATGATGACGTACTGCTGTTGGCTAATTGTTGACCGCGGGCTCAGATGAGGTAGAATAAAAAAAAAAAAATTTCTCATACCTTATGGCTCTGAATGGAAAAAGGTTTATATTAGGTTCAATTTATTCTTTCGTGAAATAATTCAGGAAATTTTTCTTTTTTTGTTTGTACTACAACTTTTATCTGAGAACGTAGACATGGTCTCAGATTTCAAGGGCGTACGTAGGTGTTGCAAACTCATTAACTCACCAGAGCTGAAAGATAGTAAAAGCTAAAAGCGCTATTGTTTTCGTTAAATGCACTTAAAACGATAAAGCTTTTCATCCTCCTTTCTTGGGCTTCCCGGTCACGCAACTAGGGTGGTCTCTGGAACATTGCTAGATCGTTTAGAGCGCCAGACAAAAAACTGAGTACAGAAAAGAAAACAAACAAACACTAATAATGAAAAGAATCGACTTTGCTTCAGTTGTGGCCGCAATATCAATCTTTTTCCAAGACCTTGGCATTTTATCAGGTCAACAGGCGCACAAGTAACCCACAGATGATTGAAATTCATCAATTAAAACAAACAGCACCAGCTGCTTTGGTAGCTTACAAGCTCTTCGGTTGGGAATTTTACCCTCGTTTATTTCTCTGATTGTCTTCCAAAATAAAAAAAACATACTCTTCTTTGTTGGAAAATTGCATATCTACCCGTATATTTTGCTGAGTGACATCAAGAAAGTTAATGAATAAAATCCTCTTAAGTTCTCAAAAGCGCAAGGTCGCCTGAATAAGTAATTCAATAGTATGTAGGAGGTGAAACTGTGATGTAGCTCACGTAGTCACGGACTGTACATCTGGGTTCTGCAGGTAAGACGCCTACATCGATATCACGGGTTTTTGAGCCATAACCAAACTGTTGAAAATTACATGGTTTTTCAATAGAGACAGTGTTGTCAAATGACTTACGAACGCCTTAAGAGAAATATTTCAGGTATAAATCTTAGGATCTGCACAAAAGTATCTAAAAACTTATGGGTTCCACCGGCAATGTTTTCCATGCGATAATGTAAGAGGCCCGAGGTTTTCGCGAGGCAGTTTATGAAATCAAAACCTTTGATGGACACTCCTCTTTCTTACACATTATGCCACCCTTCTAGAAGGCCCCATAAACGTGTTAACTACGGCCTTCTCCTCCGCAGAGTTCTCCTGTTGATATCCGCTGGACGCCATGACTGTAGATGCAAACCGATGCCATGGCATCTGATGCGTTCAGCGGCCATCCAGCAGAGGCTCTCTCCAAAGGCTAACAGTTAAATTACACCAAGTCTAAATGCACAGTAATGAGTGACGTAGATTCCCTGTCCCCTTTACTTTCCCCTTAACATTTAACAGTTACACGAGATAGACCAGACGTTCTGATGAATTTTATTACGCAAGCGCAGTTCAGCAACTTAAGTTTCTTGTTATTAGGAACCTATTTTCCGGTAACAAGGAGGAACAGCTAACTCTTTTTAATGGGAAAAAACTACTTAAATCTCAACGACATGTTGATGCTTCCAGCAATTTTTGAGCATAATCTTTAACTAAAAAAAAAAATAGCTAGGTGAGTTTAAACAATATAAAAACATGGCGAATTATTTCAAATTATGAAAAAATGAACCATTTCAAATTCAACCTTATTTAGGAAAACATAACTACTCGCCAAAACCTTTAAGAAGTTGCCCTAGATTTGAAACATCATTCGTGCCAGTTGTTTACACCAACTTTATATTCTTCAATTAACAATACAACATTTGGGAATCATTTCCCAAAAGTTCGCTGTGAAAGCCATAAAATTCATATGTTCATCATTTACATTGTACAATATCTGTTACTATCATACAAGGAAACAAAATAACATCGACTGTAACAATTAAATAGAATTCCAATGTTTGAGCGAATCGTCCTAGCTAAATTCATTGAAGGATGCAATTACATGAGAGTAAAATTGTAATTTCTGTACAAAAAAAAAAAAACACTGTAGCAATTGAAAAGCACTGTTTTTGCACAATATCTTAGCTATTTTCATGATAAAATTATCGTAAATGTGGTCAACTTAATTGCAATTAAAAATTTGAGTATTTAATCGAGATCTCACGATTTGTTATCTCAA